AGGGTAATAATATGAAATACTAGCATGCTTCCAAATGCCCCCAGGACGGCGCACCACTTCATCGTGGCAGCCCCCGCAGGGCGCAGGTTGGCCGCGCGAGTCTTTGGAGCAATGGTCCTGTGAATCCACTTGCTGTTATAGGGTACTATAGAGTTATATAGGATACTGTAGGGCTATGTAGGGTTATCAACGGTTATATAGGGCTATGTTGGGGTGTATAAGGGTATATAGGGTACTATAGGGTGTATAGGGTTCCTCTGAATCCACTGGCCCAAGGGCAAACGTCATCACTAAGGCTGCTCAAATGTGAAAAGATGGTCTGCCCAGCTGGCATGCAGCAATGCAGGAAGGGCATCCGTGACGACGTGCCACTTGAGTTGTGCTTTCTGGTGATGCTCTGAAGTGGGTGGTTGTCAAAATTATGGTCCCTTTTTTGGGTACCCTAGATATTAGGTGCCGTATCAGAATAGGGATCCAGCAAGGGACCGTAATTTTGACAGCCACCCAAGTGGATTGAGACACCCTCAATTTTGAGCATGACATCTCCTGGGAGGCGGTGGTGGCCGTAGCGAGCTACCGGGTGGCGTCGGTCTCACGGTACCAGATGGTGGCCCAACCGTTGTTGGCGGCAAGGGCCGCACTGTTGAAGGTGGAGCTTGTGCTGCTGCTTGCGACCTTGTTGCGCTTGGCCGCACTGTCTGCATCGGCACAGCTCCCAGAGTTGTGGGGGGCCCAGGAGGACGTCGCCATTCATCGCCGGGCCTCAGCCGTGCTGACGGTTTGTCAGCATAACTGCAAAAATTTGAATCTCAGTGCTGTTGGGGTGCGATCTTTGAACAGCAGCCATGGCCACCAGTTGACTCAGCACATGGCCAGGCGCAGCTGCTGTCAACTTCAGTGGGCTATCATGAGTAATTGCCCATGGTCGTAGGCAAGCTTGTTGTACTGTATGAGCGCGTAGGAGGGTGTGGGATAGCAAGCTTACGGTTGAGGATTCAGAAGACAACAGATGAGTAATGAGTAAAGCCATGCGGGTGGGGTGGGGCCTCTTCGAAACGATATCCGAGCCTTCTCTCTCCACCCAAATCCTGCCTGCTCCAAGATGCAGATACACCGCCCCCCCGCTCATCTGCAGCAAAAAAAAGCCTGATTAGCTTTTTCTGGGCCTGTTTTGGGGGTGTTTACTTCGGACCCTCCAAGCGTGCGTCAGGGTATCTGAAGACTATATGAAGACCTTTCAGAGATACGTGTACATATCTACATGCATGCAGACATGAATACACTGTACTATGGGGCGAAACATGGTAAAACCTGGACTACTGGGAACAGTTCCTGGATCCCCTGGGTCGGTGTCTCGGTGTATTGCCGCAGTCCTGCGCCGATCACCCAGTGCGTCCCCCTCGGTCGGTGTATCGTTGCATTGCTGCAATCCTGCGCCGACGGCTCTCGGGTTGGTCGCACTGCACATTCGCAATGAAACAGCCTGCTGCAGCACTTCGTGAGTGCATAGCATTTCATAAATCCAGGATGCACCTCGTGAGATCGTTCACTTGTGAATGCACGGCCAGCAAGGTTTGTGGCGCAAAGCAACTCCGCAGCCCTTTTCCTCGCACTGGATGCTGCTATGTCGGCACAGTTCGCCTGGCTGCAGCACTCAACTACGTTTATCATGGGAGGAATCAAAGAGCGCCTTTCGCCGCGCGTTAAAGAGTTCAATCAGTTGATTGGCACATCACACCCTCAATGCAGTTTTCAAGCGCCAAACGTGCGATGCCGATTCTTCACAAGTCTTACGGTGTGCTCTTGTGAAGAGTGCCGCAGGTACTTAGGGTTCAGTATGGAATGTGAATTCGGCTCCTGCCCGTACACCTGGAACAGTTCCCGAAGCTTACTTAATGTGCGCTTGCGTCCGACACCAATCTCCACTGAGACTCCTCAACGACTCTGCAGACCTACTGAGGCACACAATCAAATGGCTGAATTGCCAGTCACAGGGGAGCTGCAGATAGTCTTAAGGCGTGCCTCTAAGATTGCTTTCCATCGTGCGGTCTAGATTCCGCAAAGTAGACAGCGGGTGAAACTATTGCAGTATGTGGTGTCTGTCTTGTTGAAGTTTGCTTCGGGTGTGTCAGCGAAGCCGTGATTTGTGGTTGTCTTGTCTTGAGATGCCCAGAATTACACCATGCTAGCTCAGCAGTCTAGTCTTTGTCGTCCAGGGCAGCATCCGTCCTGTGACAGGGAGGTCAAGCGGCAGGAGCCGCAAAGCAAGACCAAGCGCACTTGCCAGCTAAGTTAAGCCCTGCAAATCTTCAGACTACTTGACCCTGTGCCTATTGGTGCTGAATGGCTTAACGCTGGAGCCCTTCTGCGTCATGGAATGGGCATTATCGTCCTTGTTGTGATGCCCCTTAGAAGTGCTAGAGGTGCAGTCACCAGTTGCTGATCTTAGGCAATTTCTCAAATTGAAAGTCGCCCAACAGCATGAATCCCCTGATTTGGGGCGATGTTAGGGACCTCTCTCTTGAAAAACTCTCAGCAGGATCAGCGGGCTGCTGGATCTTGATGCTGTTGCGACAAGGCCGTGCTCTGGTACTTTGATAGCTGTCGGAGACAAATCACATTCGTTTCATTTTCAAAGGCGCATGGAAAACGCAAGGGTTTCAGTAGAGAATCCTCAGGGACACTTGCGACTTTTGCCGCGACTTCTTTTGTTGGGATCATGGTAATGAAAGGTTCTTCTCATGATACATTTCTAAGGAATAAATCTATGGGATTATGGCCCATACGGTGGATACTAAAAATCCTGCATGATCCTAAGTACCTTATACATTGGGAATCATGGTACTATGGTATAGTAAGGTCATGCAGGATTTTTTTAACATCAGCAGTAGTAATCAGAAATCCTCCCTAAACCCTGAACCCTAAACCCTAAACAGGAATATCCCAAGAGAAGCTCCTCTGCCGCTCTTCTGACCGCTCGCCATCCCCTGGGCCCTTGGGCTTCCAGCGGCTTCCATCTTTTCAGGACTAGGGTTATATAGGGATTATAATATAGTAGGGTTTATGGTTTATTATAGGGTTACATAGCTTATAGGGGTATTATAAAGGGGTTATATAGAGATAATGGAAAACAAAATGGAAACTACTTTTAGTATACCTTTCGGGTTTCCGGGTAGGTCTCAGGGTTAAGGATCAGGAGAAAGAGCTGCCTGGGGCATATACACTAGTGTTCCATAATCATTAGTAACCTCCACAGTAATAGCAATATAGCACTACCAATAGTAATCCCCTACATACCTTAGTGTACTATAGTAGTTTCCACTTCATTTTCCATTTGATTCTCCATTAGTGGGGTAATCTTATCCATTTATATAACCTCATTGTGGGGGAACTCCAATGTTTTTTTAAAGAAAACACCGGCTCTTCTGTGCCAAGCAGCTGGAAGTTAAGAGTTAAGCTCATGGTTTTCAAGCTCAGCATGCAGGGTGGGCGGGTTCGCTTTTGGTTGGGGGCAGGATGTCAATTCTTTCTCAAACTCAAGCAGTACACGAGCTGGGAGTAGAGGAAGCAATCATCACGATGGAGCTTTCTCAAACATAGAGCCCGCTGGAAGTCCTTACCTACAGTCTGGGTTGCTTGTAAGGAACTAAAAGTAAGTTCCCATCAAATGGGGTATATACTCAGGAAGTAATACAGTTTCCTTATATAGTAATAGTAACTTATTAATCTAAGTTTCCTAACAACAACTCCGCAATGTGATTCCTGAGGCGCAGGCTGTTGTAAAGCCCATTCCCGCAGCCTCGGGCAAGGCAGCTAATTGCAACACAGATTAGCTACCTCCACAGAAATAGCAATATAGTACTACCAATAGTAATCACCCCTCTATACCCTAGTATACTATAGTAGTTTCCATTTCATTTTTCCATTCAATTTTCCAATTGATTCTCCATTAGTGGGGTAGTATTGTCCCTTCATACCCCCATTGTAGGGGAACCCTAATATAGACCCCAAAATACCATAATCCTTATCATGGGGACCCCAAGAAGGTACCCCTCATCTTGGGAACCCCCCCCTAAACCCTAAACCCTAAACCCTAAACCGCGTCCCAATGTTTCATGTCTTTGAAGCTCTCAGCGGCCAAGTCCCATGAGCTGCAAAGAAAAAGCTATGGGTTGGTGGGTTTCAGGCTTGCCGGTTTAGGGTTTAGGGTTTACGGTTTAGGGTCTGACAGCTGAGCTCAAGTGGGCAGTCAGGAAGGTTAATCCTGGGTTGCTGTTAAGGAACTTAATTTGAGTTATTATATTGGGGAAACACTTATAATTTACTATACATATATACATATCCATTATGGTAACTTAATTTAAGTTCCTTAACAGCAACCCAGTATCTTTGTATGATGTTCCTCGCTTCCTCAAGTCCACGTACCGTCTGACTGGCCTCGGTTAAAGACATGCTTTCGTCTATCCAATAGGGGGTTTCCCAAAATTAGGGAACCCCTTTTCGGGGGTCCCAATAAGAAGGATCATAGTATTTTGGGGTCTATATTGGTGTCCCTTTATTTTGGGAAACTACCATATCTTGCAAAGCTCTGCAATTCTGAAAGCTTACAGCTTACAAGGGTCTGAAAATTTGCAAGCAGCCATTGATCATGAACTTCGGATTTTTGCGATAATACCTCCGAAATAAAACTCACCTTTGTTAGAGGGACTCGCAACAACATGATCCCTAAATAGGGAAACTCCGCTGTGAAACTCCGGCCTCATCCATGCCTTCGATCGCGAAGCGGTTCCTATGCAATTTAGGGCTTATCTAAGGCTGGAACTATGTTTAACAAATCGGCGTCTTTCTATACAGTTGAAGGTTTGTGGTTGCCCTTGGACAGCTTAGGGCATTCAAAAGCAGGAGCTTCACAAGATACCCCGGTATAGAACCCCCGACAAGTCCCCCCATCAATAAGGAAGTCATCGTTTTGAGATACCGGTAACACTAAACCCCAAACCCTAAAACCCTGCTGGCCTCCAGGCCCCCTTGTACACGAGCCAGCTGGATAACTGAGGAAAGCCTTTGCCAGACATCAGTTGCGGGGTGTTAGGGTACCATTTGCTGTTAAGGAATGTCATAGGCTTTAAGGTTTCAGGAGATTACCGCCAATAATGGAACATCAAATTAGATGGAAATGAACATCGAACACGACATGGAAACTAGGATGATGCGGTGGCCTGTAGCGGTTGGAGTTTACATGCTTTCGGGCTTCTTTGGGCTGGACACCAAATCCTAAACTCTACTTGTAGAGGCTCGTCATGCAAACTAGTGAATAACACTAAAATCTCTCTATGAAGGCTCATCAAGCCAAAGACGAGCAAGAGTGAACATGGGCCTTGGAAGGCCGCGCAGTGCTGCACGGAGCACTGGTCGTTATCCTTGGCTTTGTTGTGAGGTTCAGACGATTTAGTGTGAGGTTGAGTGGGTTGAGGGGTTAGGTGTAGTGAGGGCTTCTGGTTGAATGTCTTCTGGGCTTCCCGCCAGCCAATTCGTCTCGGCTTTCTTCTCAACGAGGTACTTTACAACCTCATGCCGGCCACCGTCCACCTGAAGATTACCAGCGCACGGCAGATCCGGGAGAGCTCAAGCAAGTAAACTATAATAGGATTATATTAGGGTTATATTCGGGTTATATTGGGGTTATGTTGGGGTTATACTGGGGTCATATTGGGGTTATATTGGGGTTATATGAGGAATGGAAAATGAAGTGGAAACTACTAATTAGCAAATCAACATAACAGGCAAGTTTCAGCTTTTTCGACTACCGTGCCCAATGGTCTTACTGCATAATACCGCATACATGACAGCCTTGCATGTCCTGAGTTGACAGTGTCTGACACATTTGACACCGACACTGGGATGCCAGGCTGCTCTGAACAAGGGTGTCTGCCCAAACTTGTCCAAGACGTTGATGGGAGCACCCCTGCCGTGTGACACGGTCCAAGTCACTTTTCTTCACATGACTTGGTAAGAATGCGAGGCAGCAAGACTTCTCGATGAAGTACTCCACTAGGTTCAAATGCCCGTAGTAGGCAGCCTCAACCGTCTGCAGTCTCTCCCTCTCACCCTCGCAGCTGCTTCTTCGTTCCTCTTTGCCTCCAACTGCAATGCATTGGGCGACACACCAGCTAACATGCCCCATGACTGGAACCCCATAAGGAAGAGATCAGCCATACATCTCACTTAGATGCGCGCCCCAACACCACTCAAACACGTCTACATCAGTTTCAACGCTGCGAAGTCCGTGAAGTCGGTGCGGATTCCAAAGCTATAGGCCAGTAGTCGCAAACAAAAACAAGTCAACTGCATAGAAGATCATAACTTTTCATCAATTTGATTTAGCTGGCTCTGGTTAAGAGCTACACCATTGATTGAAGAAATTTTGCGGGTCGGTAAGCTGCTGCAGGTCCCAGGGATTAAAATACTTAGGGTGTGCAGGAATCCTCCATCAACTGCAGGGTCAGGAATGAAGATTTGACGCCTTCTCTCTTTGCAGCTTCTGCTGGTTAGATGTTTTGAGCGCTCGTTTTAGATCTATGAACTTGTTGGCTCTTCATGCCCGAGTTCGCTCTATGTCTTTCTTCTGATGCTCTTGCACGTGCTTACGCTTGTTTCCCTGATCTCTCACACTGCGAGATTCTGTTGTTCTAAGGAGCTGGGCTTGCTGAGGCCCTCTGAGGAGCCCATCACGAGGACTCCCAAAAACCCTCTGATGCATGTCTACAGCATCGCGCGCATAATTGCTTTACACAGGCTGTCAACTGGACATGACTCTGCAGCCCAGGCAGTTGGTCTGAAGGTCTGATTCGGTTTGGTTTCCCGCCTCATGAAGTGGCGTGCGCTCCTGGTAGTCCTGCAACTGAATGCCAAGGGAAGCAGGCCTGCTTGCGTGTGTTGGGTATACAAGATGTATTGCGAAATATGTATGCTCCTACAGCAACAACACTGCTACAAGATGATGGCCGCAAGATTCCCGTAGTTCAGATGGAGGCATGCAGCACGCCCTAAATACTTGGCTGCAACTAGCTGTCTAATTGCAGTGATGATGCCTCTGCTTCTGCTTGTGGATAAAAGTGCAAGCACAATGCAAGAGGTCCCCATCGTCATCGCCGTCAACGAGGTCGTCGTCTTGTAGTAGTAGTAGTAGTAGTAGTAGTAGTAGTATGTGCGCGTCGCATATTTGACGTTTTTTTTTTTTTTTTTT